TCCTAGTACGCATATCAGACCAGCATCCCACCCTGGTAATTTCAGGCTCATCTGTCACCCTCTGGTTTTTGCAGACATTTGCATATGCATACACATATAACCCCACCCCTTACACATGTGCATAAATCAAAATAAAGTTTAAAAATGTAGTTGACTGCTGTAGACTAATTCATTCAACCAAAAATATTTGGCCCTTTGTATGTGAAGAGTGGTGGAGCTCAGTTTTTGGTTTCTTTGTTTTCCCCTCTCCTCCCCTCCACTCCCCCCTCTTCCTTTTGTTTTGTTTTCTTGATATGTGCTGTGTTATCCTTCGTTTGAACTCCCTGGTGAAAGAACTGTAAGTGAATCCCTAGCCAGGATTTCTCCAGGAAATCTGCTGAAATGAAAGGCCTCCAGTTTTTAGGAGGTTTCTGCGACTGAAACATCTCAACTCCCAGGGGAAATAGCAGCAGAGGCAGCAACATTGAGCTCAGCGGGAGGAAGCCCAGGGTTCCAGGCTTCCAGCAGTTCTTGACTGGAAGAGGCTGACTTGCATAAGTACAGTGGTTTCATTGTGCTTCTCCCCCAACCCCATTTTTCAGGATGCCATCCTTCAGAATAGAGAGCTCTGGCTGCTTATAAAGAAAGAATTTGGATTCTACTCAAAAAGTCAGTATAGGATCTTACAGAGAAAGCTGGAAGAAGACTCCACCTGGCCTCCCTTGGACCGGACAGACTATGCAGGCAATGGCAAAAATGGGTTCTATATCAACAGAGCCTATGAAAGCCCTGAAGAGGTCTCCAAAGGGAAACTCAAGCTAGGAGGGCAAGCTTCAGAACAGCACTTTTGGACCAGACTGTAACCTGAGTTGCTGTCATGTTTGTTCCACAACATCACCTTTTGCCCTCCCCCACCCCAAACTAAACATTGTGGAGAGGTGAAAACTGCATACCCTTCTCTTCTCTCTCCATTTAAGCATCCAATGCACTTCAACATACTGAGCCTTGCAGCAAAGGACCTTAAGCATTCATTATATCCTTCACTAGTGAGAGAGAAAACTGCATGTCTCAGATCACCATTTTAATAAACTGTATTCATACTGTTTTGTTCTAAATGCATAGCTCTCCTATAATGAAATCAGATGTATAGGCATCAGACGAAAAACAAAACACCAAGGAAGCATTTGGTGTTTGAAAGTTAGAGTAATGTATTCATTGATGTACATTTCCTTAATATTACATTAATTTGTGAAGCACATTCATATACATATTTTGGCCCAGGATCACTAAGTCACTGATTTGCTTCTTTGGTATGGCTTCAATAGAGAAAGAAAAAAGCCAGAAAGCACAGGAAGCCGGAGTTGTGTGGAAGTGGAGAATGGTAGAGATCGGTGCTAATCATTAATAATCATGCTATGAGCATTGCTAAAATGTAAATAAACGACACCAAATTTTGCACATTCCCAAAGTATATTGTAAGGGGCCAGTGGCTCCAACAGTTCAGAGGAAATGAAAATATTGAAATAAACTGTTGAAATGTATTTTTTACTTTCTAAGGTATGTTACCTTCATTATTATTATCAATACGCAAAAATACCAAATGTTACCTTTAAAAGTTTCCCTGAACTCATCATTCGTTGATCATCTAAAAACAAAATTTTAAGGAAGGGACTTATGATTTTTTATCCAGACTATTAGAATCTTTGGGATATGACGCAAGCTATTTCATTGATTTAATTATCCAGATCATCATAGATATTCACTAAAGACAATAAAAAGATACATCCTTCTCAATGTTTTCTGTATACAAGTTAGTACTTTTTATTTTAATATGTATTACCCTTGTTGCAAGTTGGAGAGGAACTGATTCTAGTGAACATTTGAAATTAACTAGGTTTTCTTTTAACTACTAAGTCTGATTTTGCTAATTAACAACAAATCTTTTATAATCATCAGTAACTCATCAACTGAACCCCATGAATATCATCAACTATGTGAGTAAGACCACAATGTAATGGATTCATTATACATTAGATACTGGTTCACCATTTTGTAATCTTTAGTTTTCAACATTTTAGCAAGTTATAGCTGCAAATGGCATTATAAACACTGCTGCTCAAACCAGCATCACCAGTGTGCATGCCTATAAAAACAAATATGTTTGCCTTTAAGCTTTTTTATTGTGTTCACAGATGTTCGGAGAGTGATAATTTTAAAACTGTCCAATTTACTCGCTGTAATGATTAATTTTAATTGTCAACTTGATCATAAGAGAGGCATTTCTGGTACATCTGTAAAGGTGTTTCCAGAAAGTTTTCACTGAGATGGGAAGATGGTGCAAAATGTTGGTGGTACCATCCGTGGACCTGGTCCTTGATAGAATAAAGATGAGAAAGGATGCTGAGTACCAATGCTCCTTTCTCTCGTGTCATGATTGTGGACACACTGTGACCAGATGTCCTGTACGCTGAGCCCAAGGAAACCACTCTCCTCTTAAGTTGCCTCTGTCTGGTATTTAATAATAGCAGTGAGAGAAGAAACTAGTGCAGCGCCTAGCAAACGTAACAGAATTAAAACTCTTTTTAAAAAGGCTTTGGGGCTGGAGAGATGGCTCAGCATTTGAGCACAAAGGAGTCGTTTGAATGCCACCACCCACCCACATTAAGCAGCCAAGGAACTCTTGTAGGTCCAGCTCTGGGGAATCTGACACCTCTTCCAGCCTCTGCAAGCACACATTTGTGTTCACACACACATGAAAAAGAAAATAACATGTTTTTTAAAAGCATGTTACCTTATCATTAAAAAAGTATAACAACCTTAAAACTGCAGAAGCAAAAATTTCCTTTAGCTGACAGTCCTATTTGGTAATTTCACTCTTAAAAATGAACAGATTCAGTTGATAGAATGTGACATTTAGATAGCATGTTTTATTTGTTATATGTACATATTCAACAAACCAACAGACCTTTCTTTCCTAGTATTACCAATAACCTATCCCTGATGCAGATGGTCTGTACATTTCAGTATTTGGAACATGATAGAGTTGAGCTCCATTACTGACTGTTGAAAATATGCCTGAACAACATTTCATAGTGTCGGGAAAATGGCTGACCCAGCAATCACGTGGGTATTGAGTACCTACAGGAAGCCAAACCCAGCTATTTTGAGCTGCCCATCCTAAGACTGGCCATTTTAATGGCAAACTGGAGCTACAGAAGCCTCCCATAGCTGATAAGGAAATGAACCCATGAATTAGAAAGCCCATTTCTGATGTTTTCTTTTAACATGTTGTTTATCTTCTAGACTGCATAAGTCAGAGTTCTCTAGAAAGGCTGAAGCCCCAGGAGGCTTTTCATTCTGAATCCCACCCCTACCTCTTCCTGGCCAGCAATTCTGGGTAATTCTGTCAAACACAAATGCCCTACTGTGGGTTAAGTTGCCCTCTGTAAATGTCTATTATTGAGAAGTCAGCGCATGAGGGGAACTTAGCCGCTGTACCTGGCCTCACCTTAATAGGACAATTCTAGAAAACTGCATATACTTTGGCACCAGAGACCTGTATTCAAGATAAAAGTTACCTCCTGCCGTCCCAGAAGACCAAGGGGGTGGGGAGGAAGACCAAGTGTTGGGGTTAAAACAAGAATGGCCTGTTAAGGAAAACTAAAGACAGAGGGTCTCTGGGGCTGGAATGGCAACACATGCTTATGTTACCCTGATTGTTGCCCACCCCCATCAGCTTGACTATTTCTAGCCCCAGAGAAAAATCAGTTTAGTAGGTTTGAGGTTTCCACCGAGTCTTGTGCAGTTCCTTTATTATATTCTATCATTTTCTACCCCGTGTTTACTGACATGTTTCCCTTATTGGCCGACATGCTTTTGATCATGATATAAAAAGGATGCCAGGCTGGCTGTGTGGTTTATGGAGTAATGCTATGATACCCTCATATTACCTTCATGTAGAAAGACTTAGATTCCACCTTTCCTGGCCTGCTGCTACCAAGAATTTCACAGAAAACGGTATCAAAAGGGTGGTTTAATTCAACATGTAATCAATAAAACAAAAGAATAAGATAATGGAATTCCTTGACTCACAATAAAAGTCTTTAAAGGGATATGGGGTTTTTGTGTTATAAATATAGCATACTTTACATAAATATTGATGATCACTTGCCAAGGCTCAAAGGTCAAACCACTGAGCTACTATACATTCTAGAGGAAACAATTTAGCTCAAAAAATAAAGCCCATTGCTGATCACTGATTCCTGTCAAGCAACTGGGTTCCAGGGAATTCACTGGGTCTGAAAGTGCAACAAAAAGCCAGGAGATGGTTCAGTGGGTAAAGCATTTTACACACGAGCACGAGGTCTTGAGTTTCGATCCCCAGGGTCCGGAGTGCATCTGTGATTCCAGACCTCCTATAGTGAGCTCTCAGCAGACACAGGGGACTCTCTGGCAGCTCGTGGGCCAGCTAAGCCTGTCATAAGTTGCCAAAGACAACATACCCTGTCTCAAAAAAAATTAAAAATTTAAAAGGTGGAGACCAGAGACTGATACCCAAGCTTGCCCCTCCACATGTTCACCATTTATAAACACTCCATACGTATGAATACACACGGGCTCCTCCCACCCTCTTTTTACATGACCCACCTACACAGGTGTCGATATAAGGGGGTACTACCTCAAATGCGTTGTTAGGAGATCCTTAAGTTGCCTAACCAAATACCGGATATAGCCATTTCTTCTTCTTCTTTTTTTTTTTTTCCCTAACAAGGAAAGGAATAGAAATTTAGATGTTGGCCCTAACAACCATCTTTCAGAAGCTTATGTAAATGGTTTTCCACATCCCTGGCAAAAAATAGCTATCCTTAGGGGAAAGGAAAACAATATTTACAGCAGAAGATAAAATGTGATCTTGGTTTTGTTAAGAGCCTCAGCTGACTCCATCAAAAGACAACTGCTTTTTGTTCAAGCTGCCACGGCAAATCTATACTAGTGTGGAAAAACTTTTCTTGGCTCGGTGATAAGATTAAAATCAGCAAGCAATTTATTACAGAATCTGCCATCCATCACGGGGATCAGGAGCAATAACGGTGCATTCAAAATAAGTATTCACCCCAGCATTTTTTCTTTTCCTCACAAATTTCTTCAATTCCAATCGCTTCAATAAATTGCTAATATTCTGTTCTTTGTCTCTTTGGAAACAAGCCGAGAAATGTGAAGACATCAGCAGCAGCTGCCACCAATCCAATGGTGCTTATTGCTCGGTTGGCCTAAAAGGAAACAAGAAACAAATTTTTTAAAAAATGTGTGACATTCTCAACACGTCAGTGTTGTCTTGAAGATTTGGTTCATTTCATAAACCAAGGACCTATTTTAATGTACAATGAATGTATTTAAAGTCCAGGGTCAAAATAAAACAGGAATGAAATTAGAAGTTTTGTAATTATGCAAATGACACAAACACACATAGTTTTCTATTCCTGGCACTTAAACCACTTGGCAGTGTCCAAAGTCACCATCAACGTGGGTCCTGCTTGCTCACCATAATTCTCTGGTGAGAGAGGGAGTGTTATGCTCTTTTACAAAACCTGGGAGGTTTCTAGTAAATGGTTCTATTGCCCAACATCATACTAACAAAATGTTTAGACGTAAATCAAAGCTTCATAGATGCATGTCTCCCTCCTGCAGCCTCTACACAGTCTTATCTGTACTAAAAGGTGTGTGGGGGTATGTGGGGTGTCTCTGTTTCTCTAACTAAAGGCTGCCTATTATTCAAACAGTCCAGGAGTCTGAGCTGTGATCTGAGCCAAGTAGCTATAAGCTCATATTTGCTAGATACAATAAGTACATGGGCTGGACAGTTTGTATCAACTTGAAAGTCAAAGTCACCTGGGAAGAGGGGACCATCAGTGGAAGAATTGCCTTCATCAGATTGGCCAGTGTGTGTGGTGGTGGTGGTGGGGTGGCATCTTGATTAATGATTGACGTGGGAAGGCTCAGCCAACTATGGGCAGTCCCACCCCTGGACAGGAAATCCTACCTTGTAAATTTATAAAAGGAAGGTGACTGAGCCATAGAGAGCAAGCTATTAAGCAGCTTTCCTCCATGGTTGTTCCTGACTCAGTACCTGTTGTGAGTTCCCAAGTGATGATGAACTATCTCCTGGCTGAAATAAACCTTTTATTTAACCCTAACCTTAGCCATAACCCTAATCTTTAAGTTGATTTTGGAGAATGGTGTTTTATTACAGGAAACTAAGACAGTAATGTTTTAAGAGGAGTCAATATTAGTCAACTATCATGTCAAGATGGTTTTCATATAGACAGAAAAAGCTGTTCTCTAGCTCAGTTGTCCATAAAAGAGTTCAGACAGTCATAGCCATTAGAGTATTAATCATCATAATGATGAGGGCACCTAGTGAATATTCATGGATTTCATGGCACTCAGCTAATATTTGCCTTGTGTCCTCATGGGTTTGAGAACAGTTTTATGACTGAAAGGTCATAATCAGATACTCTGGAGTCACCACAGACCCGGAAGACAACATTTAGTCCTCAGGATTCAAGAGTCACAGCCTTCAAATAAAGGAAAACATTTATGTCAAATATCTGAGGGCTGGTCTAACATCTGGACACCTGGTCAAGGTCACAGTTGATAGTTCCCTCTGTATATCCCAAAGCTTTTATCATGGAGCCTCCGCCTACTTTGAAAGCTGTACTGTTTCCCTTACGGCTGCTTCCCTGTTGCAAACTGGCAAGACAGAGACCCATGGAAGAGCATTTACTTTGTGCATTTACAGCATACGGTCACTTGATTATGTCAGTCTTCAGTCAGAGGGGGCAGGCCTACAGCTGTGACTCCTGCCTTTCCTAGTGAGCTTTAACTACCAACTTGATACAGCTTAGGATCACCTGAGAAGGGAGTGTCAGGTGAAAGATTGCCCAGATCAAATTGGCCTGAGGGCATGTTGGTGGGGTGGTGATGTATGAGGGCCCAGCCAGCTGTGGGTGGTCCCATTCCCTGAGCAGGTGGACCCGGGCTGCTTAAGAAAGCTAGCTAGATATAAATCAGCCCACGATTTAAACTCGAGTAGTCTGCCCTTGCTGTTCTTCTTGGATGTAATGTGAGTTCCTTGATTGGAGTTAAGGTTATGTACAATAGCATGCGGGGCTGTCTCCAAGTAGTACCTGTTTGGTTTCCTGCCCTGACATAGCTCAATGATGAACTGAAACCTGTAAGCTCTTTCCTCCTCTAAGATGTTTCTGGTCATTACAACAGGACGAAACTGGAACGTTGCCTCTGTCCAGCTCCCAGTTGGTGGAGAGACTGATCATGCAAACAACTTGGCCTTACCTGACAAATCCTATCTTCTTCTGTAATTTTATTTTACTTATCTGGTTGTTTTATGCTTATTTTATCTATAATTTTAGTAATCACTACTTCATTATCCACTGAAAATATCAAAAGTTAACCACATCGAATATCAAGAAAAGGAAAAGGAAATGCTGTGTATAAAAAAATTTCCAAGAATAATAAATAACAAGGTCAAAAGCGAAGGACTGTAAATTAAAGCCAGTCCTAATACACACCAAAGGTCTGACCCAGAGAAATGGGGCAGGAACTGAAAAACATGAAAGTAGAATTGTCATCAAATATAGTCAAGTGGCATCAGGTTCCAACCCTGGAAAATGGTAGGATGGCAGCAGGATGGCCCCCAGCTAGATGCAAGCCTAATTAACTAGGTATCTCTCTCAGCCTCTAGAAACCTGAGATATTGGAGAAATCTCATAAGTATGAGGCCTAGAGAAGGGATCTACAACTTGATCCCAGGGCAGAAACCATTATAATAAAGCCCTCCCCAGCAGTATAAGAGCAGGTAGTTACACAAATCCCAAATGCTCTTTAACTTCAAGTCTCATTCTCGGCAGCAAAATCTCATGCAACCGAAACAATCTCTGAAGTTATGAATAGTGGGAGCTGACCTACAGGATCTAAACATTTCACCGCCATGGGACTTTTACCTCATGGTTTATTCAGGATTCTAAAATCACAGATCTGACCTTGGACACATAATTTTCAAGATTTTTCTGTCTGAGGGGTTTGATGAAAACCCTATTTTTAGGATCTTTGGGAAGAGTAGAACAGGCTGAATTATAGTGGGTTCTATATGATCATAGATTTATCAGTCTGTTTCCTAAGACTCAACGGCTGCGTCAATGCACTGAAGAACAGGCTCAGTTTATGTACTTACTAGCTTGTCTGGGCTTATTAAAGGACCTGGTCATATGCAGAAATAGACAATTTTAGTAACCTGGTTGAACTGTAATTTTTTTTAAAAAGCATTGTTTATAGAAATCTTGAAAAGTATTGAAAAAATAAGCTACAGGCTGGAGAGAAAATTCACAAAAGAAAAGTTTGTTAAAAGACTCATCCAAAATACACAAAAAAGTCTTTAAAATTCAATAGGAAAATAAACTAACCAAATTTAGATATAAGCAAAATGGTATCTAGCAATATATCATAAGAGATATACATATGGAAAATAAGCACATGAAAAGGTACTCAATATCACACATAGCTAGGAAACTACAAAAGCAATATTGATACAAAGACCACTTAGAGGTGTATCAAAACAGCTTATATGCAAACACTGCTTTCACCAAACATTGACAAGGAAAAGGCACAATAGGAAACGTCATTTATTGCTGGTAGAAATGCCAAAATGATACAGCAACCAAAAAGCAACATACACCCTCATTCTAACTATGTGACATTCAACAAAGGTAAGGACATGCATACAACTAAAAATAATTCAATAAGGCTGCCCAAGTCTAGGGAGAAGGGAGTTGATTAGGTAGTATAAAGAATAATTTCATTGCAGGAAAACTATCAATAATGTAATGATAGAAATGTCATTATAATTTTGTCTGCATTCATAAAACATTCAACACAAAAGGAGAAGTTTTGATGTGAACTATGGTCTTTAGTTGACATGAGTTTTTAAGGTTGGCTCACAATGATAGGAAACACTGTTGGATGAGGCTCTGTATGTGTAAGGAGCAAAGGGACTGCTCCTACAGTTGGGGACAGTGTTGTAATTGTAAAGCAGATTCTAAAGATTGTCTGCTGGTTTTGTAAAAAAAAAAAAAAAAAAAAAAATCAGTGGAAAAGATAAAGGACCACAATCCTTCTGCCCTTTTAATCATTTCTATGCATTTCTTTAAAAGTTAGGTCATAGTCATTTCTCTAAGTTTAAGGCCACTAAAGAGTAAGATTAGGTTTGTCGGAGGAAGGCGCCTTACGTCAGGATAGGCAGAAATAAGAGAAACGTGGATGGAAACAAGATACCTACTTGAGAGGCACCCCCCAACATGCTTCTCCCAACTGGGCCCCACCTAGTTCCCATGACTACCAATAATGCCATTAGAGTAGGAATCTAACGTAGATGATTAGGCAATGGCTCTCATGAGCTGACTGCTTCTCAGCACAGCAGCTACTGTGTGTGGAATGCGCCACCTGAGCTTTTGGTTGGAGGCTGTATATCCAAAGCAGAACACATGTTTAGTAGGACAAAAATCTGTAATATAGCTAAGTGAAAGACTTCAAATCCTTCTATAATCTTTAAAGGAAAATGACTTGAAGGCACAGTGAAAAGCATATACAGTGTACCCCAAAGTCATCCAGCCAATGAAGAAGGTAGGGCATTAGCTCATGACAGCGGAGTGTTGGCACTCAAGTAGATTCCTAAGGATGCCCTTGTACCATCAGCACCTGTGTCTGCTAGAGACAGGTGTCACAATTTGTTGAGGAAATAATCCCCCTGGGGTTTTGAGTCTTGGTATGCAAAGTGAAAAGACGGAAAGTTTCAGATTAGATTTAAAGCAATATGACTGTACTCTGTTCTTACTCAGCCACATTTTCACATTATTGTTAGCAGGCAAAAGGCTGTAAATATTTCACATAGACAAGTCTGTATATTTGGAGGTAAGCTTACGTCCATAAAATGCCACACACTCATCTATCACCTCCACAGGTTTGCTACAACCCTTCATTGATTCTGCTGTTGTTTTGGATTTTTAGTTGATTGGTTGGTTGGTTGGTTGGTTGGTTGGTTGGTTGGTCGGTCTCAGTTGTTCCAATAAGACTACCTAACTCTAAGCGCTACTTTCTTGACACAAATTAAAAACAATAAATAAATAGATAAATAAATAAATAAACTTGTAATGAAAGCACAGGCTTGTCAGTCATAGATACTTTTGACAAAACAGACCTTTGTGGTCTTTGGCCACTGCCACTCCCATTTACAGAAATTAAGTGAATAGATGTCATTTGCTAATTCAGTGAACGACTTAATCATTACCAGAGAGTCCATAACCCGGCTGTGTCTCAACAGCAACCCACCAGCTGAGGAATATGCCGTGGGGGCTTTCAGTGGCACACTGTATATCCAAAGCATCACCATGCTTTCTACCAGGGTAAACCATGTGTTACCTAGCCAGAACATCACCGGTTAAGCAGATAGAACCTACTTCTTAACAACAGCTCTAGTTTTTAACATTAAGACAAAGAGAAATTTGTGTGTGGTCTCTGTGTTGTGGCTATGTGTGTGTGTGTGTGTGTGTGTGTGTGTGTGTGTGTGTGCGCGTGCGCGCGCCTGTGCGCGCGCGCACGCGCGTATACATATATGTATATATTATTTGCATTATTATCTGTGAACTGAGATAAATTTTTTTCTGTTTCCTTAGAATACTAGTTTTCAATGAAATGTTGTGATATTTAATTCACTGACTTTTAATGGTTTCACAGTGAATGCACTTCCTTATGAGAGCATGTTACTAATGACTTCTTTTTATTTTGTTTTTCAAGACAGGGTTTCTCTGTGTAGCCCTGGCTGTCCTGGACTTGCTTTGTAGACCAGGTTGGCCTCAAACTCACAGAGATCCTCCTGCCTCTGCCTCCCTGACTGCTGGGATTGCGTGCATGTACCCCTCCACACCTGGCACTAATGAGTTCTTTTCTAAAGAAAATACACATACCATTTCATCACACTCTGTCTCCCACTTTTCCCCATTGGTCCTGAGAAGAATTGAGCCTCACTTAGACATTATATATAAGAGCCATTCCAAGGCACAGGAAACCTTGGTGCGTTTGGATTATTAAAATATGTTCAAGTTTTGGTAGTGTACCTCAAGTTTTAGATTCCTTTTCCTTTTAAATTCAAAGACTAACACTATTGTATGTGTTTTGGACATACAATACAACGGGTCTCCCCTTCTGACACTTTATTCTCTTAGGTCACCTTAATAATCCTTCGGTTAAGTGCTGCTCAGAGATGGAGCAGTCCTGGCTTTAGGACAGGCAGGATAAAGGTAAGTGAAGTATATGTTCACCTTGTTGGGAATCTGCTATAACACTACAAAGTGGTGCCAGAAATCTACAAGATTGTTACATTACAAGATCCAGATTCTCTGGAGTCAGTTAACGCATTAAAAGTCATTTAGGAGCTCTGTGAGTTAAATAGCACAACACTCCATTAAAAGCTAGCATTATAAGAAAATCAGAAAAAAATATCAAATCATTGAGACAGGCTGTTGGTTGGCGGCCATATTCCCTACTGGACAAGAATCTACTAATTAATCCCCATTCGTCTTCCTTTTGCTACATTATTTTCAGTGTGTGGGGTTGTTGGTTTGAGATTGCCGAATGGCTGGGGGGTGGGTGATGAAAACTATAAGTGGACCCAATGAGACTGATAGGAAATTCTGGACTTGATTCTACTTCAAGCCCCTTCTAGCCCAAATTTTAAGATGTCCCAAGTTTTAGTCTGTTTGGTCTGTATTTTTAATAGTGTCTTTCTCTGCCCTTCAGTGTCTCTACATTTTCCTATTTTTGCATTTTATTGAAGCATAAAAAACTTTAACAAAACAGATAGGATTTTCTCAATGTGAGAAACTTCTCAACCCTCCTAAAAACAAAACAAAACAACAAAACAAAACAAAAATAAATCAAAACAAAACTCACCTGCTCTGACACTCCTTCTCCATAGCGGAGCAAGGTCACAAAGTGCTCACAGTTGTTAACCAGTAAGTCATAGGCTACCTCCTGCCCAATAGCAAACTCTGATCGTTGTATCACTTCCTCCACTGGGAGAGGACGGTAAGTTGTGTCGTACTTGTTGTTTATTCTGTATGTGTCATTTCCCACAACGTCCTTCAAAAGCTGCATTTTCACCAAGGCCTTTGTGCTGAACACAGACTTGGCGCTTGTGAACGATGAAGGAATGCCATCTGTAAGGAGAATATTGGTTAGTGAGACCAAGTGAGCCAGTCCACGGAGGACCAATGTCATCCAGGAATGCTGAAGATGCTGGGAGACTTGGACTGGTCTCTGCTCCTTTTGCAATAAACCAAGAGCACTTGATCTTATCCATGTATTCTCTGTTAATCCATTACAGGACTACATGAGTGAAAATGTAAGTTGTATGAAATTCTCTACCCGTTCTTGGGAAGTAAGCCCTTTAACAATTGGTATTATGAGAGATCTTTGCATACAGTTCTAGGAAGGTATTGATGAGATTGTTGGCCAGTTTTTCTCTTGTGTTTGTTCCCTCTTAGCATCTGAACTCTTATGTGGTTCTGCTCACTTAATCATCTAATTATGCACTCCTCAGTACTCTAGACACTTGCTCTTTCCTAGGCTTTAATGTAAGCCCAGATTTCCTGCTGTAAAATGCGCATGGTCCTTCAGGAAACCAGCTGAGCTCCTACTTTTCTTCTGGTCAGCAAACTAACATTCTAAACCCTAAGCTAACTTCAGCACACACTACACATAGATGAGGCCCCATGCTGTGCTTTAGCAGCCCGGACAATCCTCTGTGTCTCTTCTCTTTGCCTGAGATACCTTTGTTGGTATTCACCGCCTAGATGTCCAGGAACCTTTGTATCCCAGCCGGTTACCTCAGTACCAGAGACTAACAGATGACTTCTCGTGGCTTGCCATATACCAGGACCATTTAGTCTCTCTCCTCATTTGCCTACCTTGTATGCGAGGCCATCACATTTTTGTAATTACTGAGATGAAGGGACTCTGTGTAAACTGACATGTATAAATTTCTCTTTCAGCTATGACTAAAATGAAAATATTTTCCCATTCTTCTCTCTTGATCTCCTTAACAGAACAGCATTCATCAGTTAATACTGTCAACACACCAGAGGTGTACAGGAACAAGGGTGTGTACACTGATGTATATAACATTTTAAGTTGGGTTTTATCTCACGTCTTGTACTCTAATTAGGAAATTTTTAGAAATTTTATATTAAGACCATCTCTCAAATAGTTAAATATGTCTAAAAATGCTTTTTAAATCTTTAAAAAAATATTTTTATTTTATGTGCATTGCTATTTTGCCTGCATGTATGTCTGTGTGAAGGTGTTGGATCCCTGGAACTGAAGTTATAAAAGTTGTCAGCTGCCATGTGGGTGCTGGTAATTGAATCCAGGTCCTCTGGAAGAGCAGCCAGTGCTTTTAACCACTGAGCCATCTCTCCAACCCCTAAAAATATAGTTTTTAAATAGCTATTATAGTTACTTTAGTACTTACTCCACCATTGCCTATTTCTTTCCTCAAAATGCCTGTCAGAGCCAATCACTGTATTACATTTCATTCTCCAGAGATGGAGTTGTGGCTCACAATGGAACAATTAAGAGTCATTCTTCATGATTTCTAAACCTAGACACAAAGAACAGATGAGCTCTTTCCTGTTGAGTCATAACACTCTCAGAAGAAGAGGCTTTGTGTTTGTGACCTGTCCTCAGCTCCTTACAAATCCGAAAGAATGACATCAGGCAGAAATGGGTAAAAGCTGATGTGTTCACGTTTCTACACCCGCAAACATCTGAGGCCAGCTCCGCTTTCACCCTTCCTCAAGTTTCTGCCCATGCAGCCTCGGGCTTGTTTTGTTTGCTTGTTTGCTTAAGCTAGTGTTAGACTTATTTCCGTTACATACAACTCGAGAATTCTAACAGACGCAAACACCTAATACCCAGTGGCTAAATCATAATGTGCTTAACCAGCCCCTTGTTGAAAATGAAGCCGTGCTCTCATTTTTCAAACCATTAGAAATGAAATTTTTCCATACTTCTAGATGTTTCCCCAGACTCCTGTAAGTAAAAATTAGAGGCAGAGCTTAAGAAATCTTTTTAAGACTCTTAACACATTCTATTAAACTGTTTTTCTGTGTGTGTGTGTGTGTGTGTGTGTGAATGGCATAATCAGTTTCTACTGCTGTCAACGATATGCTTGTATTAATTTCATTGTCTCTGCCTCTACTGGGTGCTATCATTTGATCCTTTGCTATTGAGACAGGCATGGAATCAGTTGGTGTCTTGGTCTATAACTTTCAGGTCCATACAAAGTTGAAATTTCTGTTCTTTTCTTCTTTGGCCAACTGTTTCCAAACTTTCCCACCTTGGGATCTTGGTATTTGCTGTCTCTCCTCTGAGGCAGCAGTTTCCCAGGTATGATGGAACCAGTCCTCTCATTTCTTTCAAGTTTTACCCCCAGTGCTGCTTCCTGGCAGAACTTCCCTAATTGCAGCACCTCCCTCTGCGTTCCCTGATCCCAGATTCCTAGGCCCCACACCTTATGAACCACTTCTTTCCTTCTTTTTCCACATTCCTTCCTAACACATCTGTAACGTGCTCTTGTTCTCTCGTACTGCCTGGGAAGGTGTAGGAGATGTCTGCATTGTGGAGATGTCTAGATCGCTGCCTAGCCCCGTGCCCAGAGTGGCGTTCATCACATACTCTATGGTCTGTTAATAGCTGTCAGACTAATTAGCATGTTCACCCACTTGTGTGAGACATAAGGACATAGAACTTAGTTGTGTTTGGGGCCAATGTCCTCCCCGGTTTATTTGTTTAGGAATTGCTCATAGAGGTTTCTAATTGAATGTTAATCCGTGAAATCTTTTAAATGACGCTTTGGTCCTTGAATGTAATTTTCTAAACTAGTTGGATTTAGTGTATTTCCTCTGCTTTATTATTCTGTCTGTGATCCCTTCTGATTGCAGAACAACTGAAGAGCTCCTGGGAGCCCCTGGAAACATAGCTTACCTATAGGGGCAATGTTGATAACGTAGCCATCACCCAGGTACAGCGCCCAGTGCTGGTAGCCAGGGCGGAACACTTCAATCAAGTCTCCTGGGTGGGGTTTTTGAGGGTAGGTCAGACTGAGGTAATCATTAAACGCCATCTGCAAGGACAGACACAAAGATGATTTTGCTGGTACTCAAAAACTCACAGAATGAGAGTCTGAGGAAGGCTTCCATCTTTGCCTGGGGCCCAGAAATTACTCAGATGACCTCCCCTGGTGGTGACTCAGATGAACACGTTTTCTTTGATGACTGTGTGTGTGCTAGCAGCAACAGGCGGCAAGTCAGCTCTTGCATAAGTCTCCAGAGCAATGCTTTCTTATTAAAATCATTCTTTAAATCTAGAATTCAGAGTTTGTAGAACTTCCTTCTATACAAAATTTCGGTGCCATTAAGTATTAAAACATGCCTTGTTTGGAACAGGGAGGAGAAATAAAGGGAAAGCAAATGTCCATTTGTTTTACTATGCAGATGTTCTAAAAAAAATAAAAACACTAAAGCATATCAGTCTAGTCTTGCTTCCACAGCATGAAGGAGTCGGGGGTCAAGAGTCTAAGATTAGGATTCTTTCAGGCTATGTGCTGTGCAGTACAACTAAGAAGGAGATGGATGCTGAACACTGAACATTAAAACATATACAAAATATCTTATACCACAAAACTCACTCCGCCATTTTATTTTAAGGAGAGACAGGTTACAAGCCAGATGGATATCAAGCCAAACACTCAGGTGTAATGTGGACTCTGGAACATTGCTTCCAAGTTCAGAACGTGCTCTGTACTGTAGCACATTTAAAACTGTGGCTTTCACCCGATACATCTCAGATGTCTTTTGTCCCTGTAACCGTGACAACCAGCTCCACCCCGTCCCTTACTGTGATTTCATAAACAATACAAGGTGCTCCACCGCAGAAGCAGACAACTTGCAAGGTGCAAAAGCTCACTGCATGGATGAACATGGCCTGAAATTTCCAAGGTAGCAACATTTCCTCCTTCTAAATCAATACCCTTTAGAAAGCATGTATGTTTCTGACCGCTGGTTTTTGTACAGGTTACACTTCCTGGGCAGCTACAGATATAGTAAACATCAGCAAGAGGGAGTTGAGTGCATCCCCACAATCAAAGGAAGACTAAGTGCTGCACGCATGCAGAGTCTCCTGTTGGCGATAATGCATCTGACCATCTCACCCTCCTGCAAGCCTGTAGGCTCCCCACCAAAGAAATGCAAGTGCCAGAAACTGCCAACTCACCTAAGTTATGATTTAATTAGCATAGGCTAAGGACTTGGAAATATACTCTTTCTTTCTTGGCACTCTAGAAGTCTGGGTTATTTTTTTTTCCAACAACTAATATTGGAAGGGTGTTTCCCTGAGTGCTTGGGGGTTGTCTGTCCAAATCTCCACTCACCACACTGACACAGAAACACAGCCAAAGGGAAGCTCCCCACATGTTGAAAATTAACCAGTAAAGCAATTATATAGAAGCATTAAGTCTTACTGTCCTCTCAAATATGTTTGAGATTTACTTAATATGGAAGTTCACAATGCGGTCACAAAAAAATGTGGATAACATATTATGATCTAAACATTTTTCTGGATAGAAATCAGAAAGCTCCCAACAGCCTGCAGAAATCAAAGTCTGGTCTAGCCATGCTTTTCTTAATAACCACTATTTGAACAGGGAATACTTGGAAACATAACATGCTTTTCAAAAGGGTTATCTCAACCCTTTTTAACTGAAAGTTTTTTTTTTTTTATTATTTCTTATATTATTAGCCTGTTCTACAGATGAAAATCTATCTTTTCAACTTCAGCCTTTTGGTAAAACTCCCTGAATTCCTTGGGATTCCTTACCATTTGCTGGTCCTACTACTGAGTCTCAGTTGCATGATTTTGGAGACAGGTATATGATCTCTGAATTCAGCCTGACCTACAGAATGAGTTACAGGACATCCAGGGCTACATGGAGTACCCTGCCTTGTAAAACCAACCAACCACAACAACAAAGACAGGAGCAATGATGGAGGCTGACTTTACTTGTTTATCTCAGAAAGCATTCCTAGTGAATGGGATATGAGGTGTTATGAGAACCTTGTGAAAACTGGAAAAAAACCCACATGCATAGATGATAAGACAGTGTTGTTGTCTGTAAAGCTCTAGATTGATTGGACCATGTTTTATGTGTGATTGGGTCCCTGTTATGTCTTGGAGACATGATATATGACTTTATGAAATGGGTGGTTTTGCTGTAAAGTTTTGATATCTAATGCACTTAAGTCTTTGACACATCATTGGAACTGTGACCCATAAAGTGAATTAGCTGAACAAAGCCTATAATACTTTATTAAAAACAGATGGCAGGACAATAAGAATGTCATGTAAATAACCTCCAGAAACTAAGATAATAACCTCCATACTAACATGTAAAAGGAAGTGAATACTCACACTGTCCTCTTACATATCCTAGCAAGCTGATGTGAAAAGGAGCCTCAGGTACTATCTACTTTACCAATTTCCTAAACACTTGGCTTCCAAGATCCCAGAACTTCTATAAGTGCAGCTTGAATGATAACCATAAGGTCCCTGTTCAATGCTCTTGTTTCTTAAGATAAAGAAAGTGAACTTGGAAAAATAATTTGAACTAATGAGGTCCATATGTTATCTCACAACAGAGTTTCAACAGTTGGTGTTAGAGTAATTGATTATCTCCAGTGGTAAAATAAAAGTATGTTCCGTAGAATAAAAACTCAATAAACTGGATACCGTCAAAATTAAAAATAGTCACAGTGCAAAAGTGAAGACAGCATTGAAAACATATAGAACTCTCAGGATGGGGATGGAGAGGCAGTTTGTGTTTTCAGAGGAAGAGCTTCTTAGAGAGGCCTTAGTTCAGTTCCGAGCCTTTATATGAGCTGGCTCTGAACTGCTTGTAACTCCAACTCCAGAGTATGTTATGCCCTCTCCTTCCTTCTATGGGCACTGCATTCATTTGCAAAGCCCACCCCCACCTCTCCACTCACATAATTAGGAAAAATAAATGAATAAATAAATTTCTTAAAATCCAGTAGTGGAAAGGTAAATAGTCAGAATGTAAGCAGAAGAAATGAAGACAGCTTTCATATTTCAGAAACTGCATAGATGTCAAACAAATTATGTTTATCACTAGCCATTAGGGAAATGTAATTTAAAGCCACAATGGAACATTACTGTGTACCCCTTGGCACAGCTCAAATGGAAAAGGGAAGTAATGCTGAACTCTGGCAAAGATGTGGAGCCATTGGTTCATTGAATCATTGATAGTGTGAGTGCAAAATGGTACAGCCGCACTGAAATATTTTTTGCCTTGTTATCAAAATATGATCCAGCAATTATATCTTCAAGCATCTGCCTCAAAGGATGAAGTCAAAGAAGACTTATGTTTAACCAAAACTGGTATGCAAATGTTTATAGTGGCCTTATTCTCAACAGCTTCAAAACAATTCAGCTGACCTTTAATGGGAGAATGGCAACACGTACCAGCAACTTTTTCAAGATTCAAGATGGCAGAACAGAAATGCTCAACATAGGGCAGGAGAAAAGGTTCTGTGGTTAAGAACACTTAGTGTTCTTGCAAGGGACCTGGGTTTGGTTCCCAGAACATACATCAGGCAGCTCACTGCTACTCCAGATCCAGGGCATCTGATGTCCTTTGGCCTCTACAGGAAGCACCTACTATTCACCTCCCTTATACAAAGAATAACAAGAACTTCCGGTGTAGAGCTGCATTTAGAGGCTGATGGCGATGATGTGAGAGCACTGGCATTACTCAGACACAGACTGCAGCCCAGGAAAATTCATAGGTAGAGATATGATACCTATGATTCATAGGTATCATAGGTAGAGAGGCAAAAACAAACAGACAAACAAACAAAAACAAAAAAACAAAAAACAACCCCAGCATCTGCCATGCCAGCTCCACAGTAGAAAGAAAGGGGAGGAGGAATCTTTTTTTCAGAGGAGTGAGGTGAAAGGGAGAGATCTGTTGGGAAACCCTGCTGCTAAGGTTGTTGTCTGCCATTAGCAGAAAGCCCTGAGCTCAGTGCAAAATGGAGGACTTCCTTTGCCAGCAAGGCTTCCTCTTCTCTGCCTGGAGATCCTGGTTCACCATGCCTTCTACCTGAAGAATGTCACATAGTCATTAGGGAAATTACAGTTCCAATTCCTTTCTCCTGATAAGAACACATCCAGCAAGCACCTGGGATTCCTAAAATGCCCCCCTCCCCATGCAAATGAGTGAGTACCTTAGACCTTCAGCCAATGACCTTTGGCCACAATATCCCTACCCTCCTCACCAAAGTCCTATATAACCCTCATCCACCCCAAATAAAATTGATCTGCCTCCCTGAAGCTGATTCTGAAAGGTCATTTTCATTCATGCTCATAGGCCACTGAATCCCCAGTTCGTTGCTTCTGCTCCCTTATTCCTGAGAACCAGTGGCCAATGACTGCAGGAATGAGGAAGAGCCACAGAGTTCCAGCAAGCTCCATTTATGTGGACACTGACATTCCAACCCTAGCTGCTACATAGTCAACTTGCAGTCAATTAGTAGCCTGAACTCTGCATAGTAGCCTGGGTTTGAGAAAGGGACTCACATGTCCCTAGGGGGAAGGTCCAGGGTATGGTCTCCAGCATCCATCTTGAGAAATGGGCTGCTGTTTCCAGGAATCGAAACTTCCTGTGTACTCCCCTTCTCCTGTATCACACAAACAGTCCCCAGCGCTGGCTTCGCACATAGCTGCCTCTTGAACACAACGTGGCACAGTAAGGTAACTGTGGCTAAACATGCTGGATGCCCTGCTCTGTAGGGTTGGGTGTTATGACCAGAGGAGATTGGAAGGTGTTGCCTCTGAATACCAGCGAACCAGCACACTTGCTCTGTGAGGCTCAGGATATAGTTAGCCACATGTGGACCAGGGCTGGTGTCAGGACTGAAAGGAGATACTTATATGGTTCCAATGTTCCTTCCTCTAAGACCTGTATTCAGGTGTCTGTTATGAATAAGGTGGGGAGTGAACCCCCTTGATTGTCAAGCATACAGGAGTCTGTTGGGAGGGACCTGAGCAACGCTGTGAGTCCAGGTCCTACCCTCAGGCAGACGCTGCCAAAGAAAACCTGCTGGCTCCTCCACCCTGGGTTCCACTCATTGGCAGGGATAGACATTAAAACATTAGAGAGAAAACAGAAGTTCTTAATCTCACCCCACTTCTGTCTGGCTGCCATCTGTCCATTCTGACTTTAATGTCATCAGGACTAGCTGGGAGCACCCCAATAGGAGTGCAGTGGGCACCATTATAAAGAGTCCTGGCCACCACAAGTAGAGGCTCTTGCCAGTAGAAAAATTCCAATAGAAGGCTGGCACCATCAATGTCTTATGGGGCCACCATTGAAATAGTAGGAGTAAAACTACACTGACTACCCCATGTCCTGCGCTGTAAACACTATATCCATCTGGACTGATTAAGTATTTGTATTCTCATGGCTCATAGGAAAATGGCCCCGAGATTCTGCCACACTATATACCATGCCCATGGAAGTTATAGGGAGACTATACTGCAATACTCAGCTAGAATCAAAGTCAACACTGCAGAACAGACTGACACACTCCAAGACACTTCTTTGGAAGAAAGCCACTTACTAAGACTATCACTCGAAAGTGGTAGAGGCATCTGAACAAGCAAATGCACAAATCTCAACATAGGAGCACAAGAAATATAAACAGAAGTAATAGCCCCAAAGAACATAATAATTCTCTAGCAACAGATTTCTAAGAAATTAAAGTGGATAATTTCTAAAAAAAAAAAAAAAAAAAAAAAAAAAGGTTTTAAAATATTTCAATGAGATCCTTAAGACCACAGGTTAACACTTAAATGAAATTAGGCAGAAAATCAAGGATATCAATGAGAACTCAGTAGAAAGGATTAGGCAGAAATCTTGGAAATGAGGTCAATCAATCAAATAAAATGTAACCCTTGAAAGACTCTACAACCAGCTAGACTTAGTGGAAGAAATAGTATGTGAACCTGAAGAAAGGTTTATTTTATTTTTTTAATATACTAGAGAGAATTTCAGAAAAGGTTAAAATTAAAGGCACAGAAAATCTGTCCAATGAAATAATTGCTGAGAATTTCCCTCAATCCTAAGAAACATCCATCTACAGGAGACTTATCTAAAAATCAAAAAGTGGGCCAAAGACCTGAATCTCAGACTAGAAGTCATAGAAGAAAATACAGGGGCTATTTCAAGACATAGATATGGATAATGATTTTCTGGATGAGATTCCCCAAAGCATAGGAAACAACAAAAATAGCCAACTGTGATTACACAGAACTAAAACCTCCCAAACAGTAAATTAAACACTCAACAGCATGAAAAGACAGCCCACAGGATGGGAGAAAAATATTTGTAAACTATACATTTGGCAAGGAGGGGCTGTCATTCAAGATATATAAAGAATTTCAAAAACTCAGTCCAAGAAAACAAATAAATGAAATAAGCCAGATACTGAAAGAGAAGTGCAGAATATTCTTTCTCATGCGGAAGCTTAAAAAGTCTGTTTGGAAGTAGAATAACAATCTGTACTGGCTGGGAAGTATGCTGGAGGAAGAGGCTTGATGTAAATGATGTATATGCTATACACATATAGAAATATGATGCTTTTAATATGTACAAAGCATTTTTGTCACCAAAACCTGAATTAATCTCCAGACTAATTCTTCCATTAGGAAAAAAAAAATTAAATTGGAAAAAAAAATGTAAGAATGTTGCATGCTTTGTGATTCCACACTGTAACATTCTTGAAATGATAAAATTATAAACTTAGCCAATAAATGTTGTTCTCAGGGGTCAAGAGAGTGGTGGGAGGGAGGGAGTGTGGCTGTGAAATGGACATAGCAAGGATTGGGATGGTGGCTTCGTAAGCTGATTGTAGAGGCTGGCTGAGTTCATGCCAGCCCTAAAGTCATATAAGCAAGTGAGTGGCAAATCTGAAATTCAATTTCAAGTCTGTCTTCCTTACGCCAATTTCATGCCCTTTTATACCACTGAATATAATTAATAATTAATCAAAGGAAATGCTGCTAAAAGTCATTGCATCGTTCCGCTTCTCAGACGAGCGTTAGAGGCAGAAGCTTCAAAAGCACAAAAATATATACTTAGTATAAACACTCGTATGAGGAAGCAGTGGAGCCTTGCTGGGGAGTCTCTATTTCTCCTGTGCCCACGAGGCCTTTCCATGTGATGTTAGATCCATCTAGGTGGTTCCCAGAATGACAAAGGGCTATGAAAGCCAAGGGCTATGAGGATTTACTTAACTAACCTGCACAGAATCATATCATGTATAAAGAAAACTAGCATGAACGTAGGCACTGAATCTTGTACGGGGAATTTACTTTTCAATTACGAAAACGGGCTGCTCTGTTTATTGCACTATCTCAGATATATCTATGGGTACATCAAAATAAATAAGTGCTCTGGGCGGGACATTTCATGAGTATTGTTTGTTTGTTGTAGGATACCCAGGAGAACTTTTTGCTCACCACCTCCAAAAATGCCACGGAGGTATGAAACACCTCCGCTCCCAATCCCTGGCTCCCCAGCCTCCAAGAGCCTCCCAGTTTGATTTAGACAGTTTCCCATTTCCATTCATAACAGTGCTACACCGAGAGGCTTCTGCGAAGAAGCATGTCTACACTGTCTTCTTACACTCAGACCCTGGCCCTGGGACATCACGGGACAAAGGTCGTCATCGCAAACCATCCTTCATCCATAGCTCCGCCATGCTAGGCTTTTACTCTTCCGGGCTCCCCGGTACTGACTCCATCTTAATCTTGACCACTTTCCCTTTATTGTAGATCCAGGCAGGATGCCACCTTCTGGCACATCCCACCCTCTCACCCCTTCATCTCTCAGTCGGCCATCCCCTTCCTGAACCTGCTTCAGTAGCTAGTGTCTGGGGACCTTCACCGCATTCCCCTGGGGAGGGCCGGTTCCTGTTTATCGTTTATCTCTAGACATTCAGTTTCTAGCAGAGTGTGTGGCACAAATGTCTGCCTAGTAAACGTTAAGTGAATAAAGGAACCAGGAACTCGAGACCTGTTCACATTTTTCCCCCCAGAACATGAGTCATAATCACAGTACGAAATGCCAAGATCATATCACCGTCCACGGCTCCAAAAACCTAAGACTGTACTGTGTCACCTTGGTAGTCACTTCGCTGAGAACAGAGCCCAGAAATCGGCCCTGCCCAGCGGTCTGAGTTTCCAGTATCTGCTCCGCTACTGAACCGTTTCCCAGCCTTGAAAGCTGATCTCTTTTGTTCCCTGGCTCCCCGTTTATTAAAAAAAAAAAAAGGAAAAGAAAAGAGGAGGTTGAATGAAGTCAGGTACCCTCTCACCTCTGAACTTTCGGCCGAAACAAGGTAGCCTAGCGCCTACCGAGCCTTCCTCTCCTCCCTTAAAGCACCTCCCTGCTCAAACTGTGTTGTCCCGGTAGCCAGGAAGCAGTGAGAGGCTTCCCAGGCTCTCCCCCGGTTCCCTGCGGCGCGGCTAGCAGCCCCCGGGCGACTCCATCCGTACCACCCCAAGGCCAAGGCCACGGCCAAAGCCACAGCCGCCCTCCGCTGCGCCAACGCCAGCGCCCGCGCGCCCGCGCCACCCCGGCTTCCCCCGCGGCTTCCTGGCGCGCGCCTGGCGGGTTCCTGCACTGCACTGCGAGTCCCTGGCCCCGACCCCCCAGTCTTCGGCGCTCGCCCCAGACCCGCTCCCTTCCCTCCACCGTGATCCTCCGAGCAAGCCGCAGAGCTGGTATCCCCGATTCTCCCTGGACATACTACAGGCCGGAGCGCGCCCCCACATCCTCAGTGCTTACCGCAGGCCCTGACTTCCAAGATCCTTGGGCACACTCCAGGGATCTGGGCTCCTGATCCACACTCCTGGTCCCCAGCCTGCTTGTGGGAGTCCCTACCACGGGGCCCTGTCACCCAGAAGCCCTCCAAGCAGGCTGAAGCAGACACACAAACCGCCTGCTCACAGCTCAGCCCCAGCCCAGTGCCTGCTTGGTTTATTCTCCCAGCAGCGGGGACATTCTTGCAACAAAATTTTGTGGTAACAGGCTCCGGCCATGCTGGGTGCTACAGTTTTAAGGATGGCCTGTCATGCGGAGTCTAGAAACCTTTGGGTATAGCAATCATGGATACACAGTATACAGTGTCCGAGCTGGACACGGATTCCTTGTGGGCCAAAAGTTTGTGTTCTCTGCCTTGCACCCCAAAGAGACATCCAAGTCTTTAACTCAACAAAGAGTGGGAGGTGGACTGCCTTAGAAAAGTCCGTGACTCATACACTCCTTCACGGCCGCACACCAAACACTTCCTACTTACAATGACCCGGAGCCCATAGGCCAGCTAGGACAAACTATCCAGCTCTCTGGACCTGCCCACACGTCAACATCAATTTGAGTTGGGGAGACAGGAGGAGAAGGGGTGAAAGGGGACCCTCCAACCCCTGGGCTGCAGGGTGCTGCCTTCCTGCGTGGGAAATTACCTGACATTGGATGTGATGGAGCAGCCCCCTTCGTTGAGGACCAGGGGGGGAGTTCCCTCCCTTCCCCTGCCCTGAGGAGTCCTGGATCGAGATTCCTTACTCAGCTTGACTCCAGACTCCTGAAACAGTGATCCTGCCTTTTTAGGCCAACGGAGACCTGTCAGGCCAGGACTTGAGAAAAACAGCCAATGAGGTTAAAAATAGAGCTGTGGGATAGTGAGGATCCTCTTTCTCGCAGCTTAAAAGGGTGCCCAGGACAGCCAGCACTTAAACAGGGAAGGCTAGACTGCTCAGTGAGCAGATCTGAGGACTGCACAAGACTGCCTAAAACTAGTCATTGCCTAGATTTGTGCACAGGTAGGTACCGAAGTTCAACCAAAAGACACCCCCACCCATGCAAAAGCTTGTTAGCGGCTGGCGTTGAAGTGTTGGTCACATGGAGGAAAGACTGAGAAGCGGCTGCTAGGTTTCCTGGATCTGTAGATCAGGGTCACGTGCGACATCTTCTAAACAGTGCATGGAAAGTCGTCAGAAGCATCTTAGACCCTCAGATAGCAACGTGGAAATGAGAGTACTTCAGTGCTCTTCGGGACCTTTTCCCTAGTAAAAGCAAAAGCATGTATTTGCTTGCATTCCTCAGCCATTCCAATTGAGCCATCACAGAAAGAGGTGGTGTATGATTTTATACAAGAGAGTTAGCTCTAGCATTTATAAAGCCATCCTGCTTATGAGCTAAATTTATTACGTTTGCCAGGTTAATCTGTTTTCTCTAATCGGACACTTAATCATCCCGTCTCCTCCCAGCATTATGGATTCATGAATGTCAGCTGAGGAGAGTTGCTCAGTCAGGGCAAGATGATAAATTATCGTTTCATTTTGGGGGTATTTGTGACTAAATGCCTCATAATAGAATTAAGATGAAATAAATCTTGTAATTTTAGTTTTAGATCCCTGCCAGGTGCGGAGAAAATGCATCTGGCCAAAAGCAAATGCAATTCTACCACTGAGTAGAGTTTATGGGTGAGAAAAAGCTTTGTATGCAAGGCAGCCAAGTTCTTCCTTCTCCCTACAGATGGTCATGCCCTGGTCCTAGATGGGTGAACTGCACAGCACTGCCATTTCCACTCAGCCAGGGTGAGCCCCACAGAGTGAAAGGCAAAGGTTTTCTGCATGTAAAGTTGTCACCCTGGGATCTCAGAAGCTATGCACAGTACAGATTGGTCCAGATGTTACATTTCACTCAAATAACAAGTTGCTGGTTTTCTTGTTTGGCTTGGTTTGGTTTGGTTTTGCAATCAGAATCAGAGCCTGGTTGGATCATAAGGGTTGAAACATTGAAATAATGGTAATGGATATGATTTAGACACATATTTTATTAAATAAATGCTAAATACATGTCTAAGCAACAGCTCTAGGGGGAAACAAGAGCCATTCTTTGTCTATTTACATACAGAGACAAAAGCCAATTGAGATGCATGGCAGGAGATGAAGGCCTCCAACCAACCATATATATGAATGTGTGTGTGTACGTATCTATGTCAGTAGTGCATGCTTCTAATACTTAGGCTTCTCATTCCTTTGTGGCACTTGATTCTAATACACCTCCAGCTCCTTGGGTTCTGGCTGTTGCTGAGAGGCCTGACATATGGATCTCTGAGCTTAGAGTCTGCTGGGGTGTAACAGAGACTTTTAGTTGAGAGTCTTCCTATACCCAGAGTCCTTCATCTACTGAAACAGCGAAATAAAAATCTTACACCGATTTATTTGTTTATTTGATGGTTCTGGAGTTTAAGCAAAGCCTCATCGGTGCCAAAACACATGTGCTATCCCTGAGCTACAGCAGAATCCCACAGCATTACTTTTGTATTAAAAATAATAATGATAATGATAACAATAAATTAAAAGGTTAACAATGTTATCTTAGGTATTTTTAAATAGTTAGAAGAGAAGATTGTAAAGGTTTTTCCCACAAAGAAATAAGTAAATGTGGTTACACTCACTTGATTATTATATGATGTATAAATGTTTATAACCTTATATTGTGTAATCCATGAGTATGTTTAAGTATCTGTCCATTAAAAAAAAAAAACCTGATTACTAGAAAACAAAAAGCTAGAAGCTGGGTGAACAAAGAGATCTCAATAATCAAGTTAAAATGAATAAACACTGTTTATACTGAGAAAATTTTTTTCAAAAGAAAAGACCTGCACAAATACAAGGTAACTAAGAGCCGGTGTGATAAATGGTCTCCATGACGACCTCATGGCCTTACACAGATAGTGTCTGGAAGTAGGCAGTGGCATGAGCACTAGTGAGTTGAAATGGTCATTTGAATACTTCAAACCCTGCTCCTCTCCAGTCAAACAACACTATGAAAGTAAGAGCACCGGATGTCAAGGGAAGGACTGCTCAGCGTGCAAACCACTCTCGTCCTTATCCTTCATTGTGCGCTCTTGCTCCTGATGACTGGAACCGGACATCTTTCCCCTCCATGACTTCTGGAGAAGCTAAGGTCTTTTCAGGCTCCTTCTGATGTCTTTGTGACTGCTGCTTCCCCAGGCCTAGGTTGGTGGGAAACGACTAACCTTGTTAAATTGGCCAACTGAACCAATACTTGCGGACAAACGGGGCAGTTTCATGTAATCCTAGTCAGAGGTACAGAGACCTGTCAGTATATGACGAAGAATGATTGTCTATAGAAGGAGCAAGCATTCTGCCTGGGGAAAAGCCCTGGAGAGATAAAAATGGAAAGCTTGAGTTCTAATCCCAGGTACATTCCTCACTAGCTAGAGAACACTAACACATTCCTCAGACCTACTCAGGTAGGGGGAATGGGGAACACCGTAACATAGCCTGCCATCTTTGCAGATTTGTGAATGGTTTCTAAGGCTATAAAAAGCTTAATATATGTAAGAAAACTATAATGGCTCAATAAAATAACCTAAGGGTATCCTTGAAAACCACATTTACGTTTCATCATTTATAGAAAGAAAAATACCTAAATATAGGCACTATATTCCTGCTCCTGCTCTCTCTCCTTGCCTCTATTTTAAAATCTAAAATAAGCTGTCTTTATCAATTGTAACATTTATATACTCTAAAGTGTCACTTAAAAAGGTATACTGACAATGCAATTATCCCCCCTTTTTTTCTTTTTTGGTCCTTTATTGGTTTTATAAATAAAAGCACATCACTGAAAGAATGCCACAGAGAGGTGGACTTGAGTCTAGGGGAAAATCATTCCAGGCAGCAGGAAAAAGGTAATTCTGACTGGTTCTCTATAAAAATCCAAATTTCTGCACAAAAATCTTAAAGCACAAGTGTTTACAGGACTCTTGGTGACAAGAAAGGCAATAGTAAATGTGCATTGGCACTAAAATTCATGTATCCATGGAAACCTGTGAAGTTCCTGAGCGCATGCGTTCACAGGCTACAGAATTAATCCTTGGGCTGAGGGGAATAAGTGTGTTACTGCACTGTGAAGGGCTGGCAGATTGCTGAGAGCTACTTACATGGGCACGCATCAACTTGTTTTCTTCTGTTAGATATAATTATGGGGAGAACGGAGATCTCAGACATCGACGGGAAAGAAAATATTTTTGTTTACATGTACTTATATCCTGGAAGGCACTGTACTCAACTCAGAGTTTTAATCAGAAAATTTTTGGTAAGCCAGCAGCAGCCCCTCTCCCCACCCCCCTCCATCTGTGGCTACCTGAATGAACAGATGTGTATGTTTCTTGCATGATGGAAGAAAACGCCATAAAAATTCTCAAGCTGATTATTCTTGGTGATTTAAATGTGATCCCAGCCAGTGATTCCCGTGTAAAGCTTTCAAAGCAAACTGCATAGAACTACCAGAGGGCGGGGAGGTCAGAAGGACCCCCTGCAGGAACTGATGTAGTTAATAAGGACCAAGCTTCTAAGGAAATAAGGTGGTACTCTTCACAAAAGCCTAGTTACATGGCAATATATATATATATTTCCTTTCCCTTCCGTTGCCAAGCCCGGGATTCTTTTCTAATAACTTAGAGGTGATTGACCAGCGGAAACAGTTGTAAAATTG